CAGTTGCGGACAGTGCAAATTTTATGTAGCTCCTGTTACCAGTTATATAAACAATAGTAATCAACACTGCAACAGTAATCAACACTGTGCAACAGTAATCAACACTGCAACAGTAATCAACACTGTGCAACAGTAATCAACACTGTGCAACAGTAATCAACACTGTGCAACAGTAATCAACACTGTGCCACAGTAATCAACACCGTGCCACAGTAATCAACACTGTGCAACAGTAATCAACACTGTGCCACAGTAATCAACACTGTGCCACAGTAATCAACACCGTGCCACAGTAATCAACACTGTGCAACAGTAATCAAACACTGTGCCACAGTAATCAACACTGTGCCACAGTAATCAACACCGTGCCACAGTAATCAACACCGTGCCACAGTAATCAACACCGTGCAACAGTAATCAACACTTTGCAACAATAATCAATATTGTGCAATAAATTATCAGGTTCAATTAAAAGTGTATTAATCGACATTTTTTTTAGCTAAAAAAATTAAAAATGTCAGAAAATACCTCAAACTGCTTTGAAAAGACGATATATAAAATAATTTAGACTTTTTATTAATATTACTATGACCTGCGATTAAGATTCTTATTGAAACATGATTGTTTCTGTTCCTATATTGATGTATTAAATTGTATGTAGCTCCTGTCCCCAGTTTATGTTACACTGAACTGTGATGGTCAGCTTGGAGAATTAAACTTTCCTCATGAAACGTCTCAGAAAGTTGTTTGTGGTAGAGAGATACCTAAAGTCAGATGTTATACACAATGGTTCAGGGACCTTGATTTCGCTTTATTGCCTTCATGGACCTCTGATGTTACACACAATGGTTCAGGGACCTTGATTTCGCTTTATTGCCTTCATGGACCTCTGATGTTACACACAATGGTTCAGGGACCTTGATTTCGCTTTATTGCCTTCATGGACCTCTAATGTTATACACAATGGTTCAGGGACCTTGATTTCGCCCCATTGCCTTCAGGGACCCTTGATGTTACACACAATGGTTCAGGGACTGTGGAAAATTAAATTTACCTGGATGAATCTCATTAGATACATACCAGTAAATGGTAACGAAGATAATTATTATTTATCAAAGTTACATAGACAAGTACGAATTTTGGGACACCTAGGTCGCAAAAAATGTCCCCCTTCCATACCTACTACTGTCATATCCACAAGTCACTCTTGAACTATATTAATTTCAAATGAAATATGCATTACCAAGAATTATGGTAAACATTAATATAAACATGTGGACTGTATGTTAAAATTAATAAATGATTACATATACACATTTTATGTAATTGAAGGAGAATTTATAATCATAACACTCACCAATATCCCTATGTTTTCAGTAGTAACTCCAGCTCTAACTGGAACGTCAATTTTGAAGTTTCATTAGTTAGTGGAAGAGTTGACTATATCCTCATTTTATGGTGCATAATAAACTAGCTGCTACCATTCACAGGATGGGTATATGGAGCGCAGTAAACTAGCCACTGCCGTCCACAGGATGGGTATATGAAGCACAGTAAACTAACCACTTCAGCGGCTTAATCTAAAACTTTCATTCTTGGTCTCTTCCTTTTTACTGTCATCTGTTGCAGTTCCTCTTCCTTCTTGTTGTGTTCATCTTTCTTCCTCCTGCCTCTTCCTCCTTCCCCTATCCTACCCTTCTCCACTCTCTTCCTCACCCCCTCTGCACTCTCTTCTACCACCATCGCTGTTTTTACGCCTCTCGGCTTGTCATCTGAGTCAACATGGCAGATGGGTGGGCGGGACTAACCTGTGGGAGGTGACACACCACGCCCACCTGGGGTGCGACACACCACGCCCACCCAGGGAGCGACACACCACGCCCACCCTGAGAGCGACACACCACGCCCACCCGAGGTGCGACACACCACGCCCACCCGAGGTGCGACACACCACGCCCACCCGGGGTGCGACACACCACGCTCACCCGGGGTGCGACACACCACGCCCACCCGGGGTGCGACACACCATGCCCACCCGGGGAACGTGAAGGATCGATGCCATGTGTGTGTATTTACATTCTTCAGGTGAGGGGATCACAGAGAGCGGAAGGAAGACAGTTGTACACCAGGGGGCGGGAGGAAGACAGGTATACACCAGGGGGCGGGAGGCACAGGTGTACACCAGGGGGAGGAAGGCACAGGTGTACATCAGGGGGAAGGAGGAAGACAGTTGTATACCAGGGGGCGGGATGAGCAGGTGTACACCAAGGGGAGGGAAGCAACGGTGTACACCAGGGAAAGGGAGGCACAAGTGTACGTGTGTACTCATTGATTTGTACCTCCTAGTTCCTTTTTGTGCTACGTCTTAATCTAACAATCTGTCGGCGTTTTTGGCTACAGCCTATGTCATACCTAGTCTGCAGACTGTGTATAGAATCCTCTTCGACCATTTCCTCGTTGATCTTATTCCAATTTGCTGCCGAACTAAGACTGAAGAGGCACTTCCTCTCGTCCTTGTCTCTGAATAAGGTAAAATTTTGTTCGGATTTTTAACCTCGGAGGGTTAGCCACCCAAGATAACCTAAGACAGTGTATGTATCGAGGACTGTCTGTCTGATTTTCATTAGGGTCCTTCAATCTTGTCCCCCAGTTGAGTAACAACCAGATACCTACTTGCTTGTTAGATGAACGGGGAGAGCAGGTGTAAGGAAACACTCCCAGGGTTTCCACCCGGCCGGGGATTGAACCACGGACACTCAATGTGTTAGGCGAGAGCGTTACCTACCGTAACTGTGGCTTCCAGCTGTGTTGTCCTGGCCCCAGCTCAACCCCTACTGTATATATTATCTGGTTTTTAGTCCTAAAAGTCGCTACTGTCACTTTTTTTTTTTTTTTTTTTTTTAGTCTCTTTGCAGTTCTTTGTCATATCGGCTCCTGGACTAGTCTTGCTGCGAAACCTCTGGACTTTCTCAATCTTTTGTGAAGGTTTGATCGTGTACTTCATGCTGGTGCTGGGTGCTCTGTGTCTGGCCTGACATAAATTGTGTAGTGTTCTACAAGACTCTTGCGTGGGGCTCTGGAAGGTGTGCCAGGAGTAGGCAGCCTCGCATATGTTAAAAATGTTTGCGGAAGATGTGTTTTAGAAAGACCCTTAGGCAAGGCACGTATTTGTTGTAGACGATGTTTCGCTTTTTATAGAGCTTTGCCAAATCATTATTTGATAAAGCTCTACACAGAGTTGAGCATGACTTGTTATAGCTGGATATAGCGAATAATACCTACATAGTATATCCTATTCCGGCGACATGCATCATGTATGTCATACCTCCAGATCCTTCTCTTTCTTCAAGGTTTCCACCTTTTCTTATTTAATTATATCAAACTCTCTCTTTAAACTTGTTTTTGTAAACACCTAGTTAGAGTTCAGTCTCATGAGTCTCACGGAGCCAAGAGCTAGGACTCGACCCCTGAAACCACATACAGGTGAGTAGTACTACTGACTACACGGTCCCTGATCATACCTTCTCCTAAAACTGCGTATGGAATCTGCTTCCATAATATAGTCATCCAGATCGCTCCTGTAACACCTGCACTTAGAGTGTGAAAATGCGAGAAAGGATTTCACAGGTGTATATTGTAAGGGGGCACACGTGTGCATGTGTACAGGTGTTCAATGTAAATATACAAGACACCCCTGCTCTACCCAGTCCCGTGGGCATGTGGAGGCCGTTTTCTGTAAACAAGCTGGGATTGGAGGGAGGTGACGTCACGGCAGGGAGGGCAAGTGGGCAATTAGTGAATACACAAGGTAGGAGAACAAAAAATAAGAGAAGGAAACCGGAGAGTGAAAGACGAAGACAGTAAAGGAGACGGGGGCGAGGAGGTATTGATGTCGTGTGGAAGAAGATAAATTACCTAAGAAAGAATGTTTTTATTTAACGCGAACACTAAGTACAAGACTGACCTTGTTGACCCACCATCCCTCCCCTTTCTCTCTCTCTCTCTCTCTCTCTCTCTCTCTCTCTCTCTCTCTCTCTCTCTCTCTCTCTCTCTCTCTCTCTCTTTCTTTCTCTCTCCGCCCTCCTATGCTTCCATCGTTACTGTTTCTCATTTTTCTTTCAAATTAATAATGGTAGAACGAGGAAGGTATGTTACACACTTAATTTGCAATGCTCAGTTTCTTAAGCAAGACGAGCCTACATTAGTTCCCCCCGCAAGTGTACAGAAGTCAGTACAAACCTCACAAAATATTTTTTATTTCAGTAAAAAATCTTGACTAATTAAACTGACCTTTAATAGGTTAAGCTGAATTAACCTGTCCTGAATCAATTTTTGGAAAGCTTACGTTAGGTGCTTAAGCTGATGTTTGTGCAGATTTAAAAAAAAAGTGTGTAAGAATTGAATTTTCGTAAATGTATCTTATCAAACCATCAGATAAAAAAAATGCGGAAATGATTTATTTATTTAATTTTTAAGATAATTTTGAGTTAGGTAAGGGTCGTCAGGAAACAGGACAAGTGTTTCCTGACGCGGGTCTTAGTCAATGACGACCCGCCGTTGGAGCTTTTGGTCATCTGACCGAGGCCTTCCGCTGGCTTATCGGTCCACCCCTTTAAAATTTACGGTCATAGTTATAACCATTTGTAGTATTTAATTTTGCTTGACCGTTCTGGCTATAAAGTAAGACAGGCAGAACTACAGCAGATCATCCACGTCTACGTTAACTTATTTATGATAATGGAGTTATTATTAAATTATTATTAGTGAAATTATTACTATTATTACTAATTTATTATTAATATTAATGATTATATTATCAATGAATATTATGAAATCCTCATTATTATTATTATTATTATTAATATTTTCGTACTACTAGTAGTTGAAAAGTATTAATTGGTTGTGGGTCAGTCTTCCACGATGAAGAAGAGAGCATTAATAATTAGGAAATAATCTTGTTAAAGACTTTAAGGTGTTGTGTGGCGGCGGGTGACGCAGAGTTTTGGCGCCTGTATTTATAAGCGTGACGTCACCACGGGAAATATTTTGGTTGCTCATTTGACTTGTGGGAGAGAGAGGCTGTCACTGCTGGGTGTAGTAGTACTCCATCTACCTCTGGAGGCTCGAGCCTCCGTCCACGAGATAAACGTTCTTCCTGACTACTCGCCTCACTCTAAGTGAGTGAATAAGTCTAGTGTGTGTGTGTGTGTGTGTGTGTGTGTGTGTGTGTGTGTGTGTGTGTCGTTCCGCATAGGTAAAGTTGGTCAGTTAGAACTCATTTAAAATTAAGTCCTTTCTAAAATTTTCTTTTATACGTTTAAAGATATATTTTTTTTCGTTTATGTTAATGTAAAAGTTAATAATTTTGCACTAAAGAATCTTAGAAAACTTAACTAGCCTTATTATAACAAGAGCAATTTTATTTAGCCTAATCCTACTAAATATATTTTAGATAAGTTTACAATAATTTAATAATAAATAAAAACAATGAAATATATTATTTTTTCGTTAGGTTCAGAATAATTTTTGCGAAATTATTGCCAGCAGTAACAGCCTGGTTGATCAGGCTCTGATCCACCAGGAGGCCTGGTTACAGACCGGGCCGCGGGGGCGTTGACCCGCGGAACTCTCTCCAGTTAAACTCCAGGTACAAAATTTTTAGCAAGGAGAGCGCTGTTGTTTAAGCCAATATTGCAAGTTATTCTGCGTATTGTGATACCACCTGTTTCCTGTGATCTTATTGTGATACCACCTGTTTCCTGTGATCTTATTGTGATACCACCTGTTTACCTGTGATCTTATTGTGATACCACCTGTTTCCTGTGATCTTATTGTGATACCCCCTGTTTTCCTGTGATCTTATTGTGATACCACCTGTTTCCTGTGATCTTATTGTGATACCACCTGTTTCCTGTGATCTTATTGTGATACCACCTGTTTCCTGTGATCTTATTGTGATACCACCTGTTTACTGTGATCTTATTGTGATACCACCTGTTTCCTGTGATCTTATTGTGATACCACCTGTTTCCTGTGATCTTATTGTGATACCACCTGTTTCCTGTGATCTTATTGTGATACCACCTGTTTACTGTGATCTTATTGTGATACCACCTGTTTCCTGTGATCTTATTGTGATACCACCTGTTTCCTGTGATCTTATTGTGATACCACCTGTTTCCTGTGATCTTATTGTGATACCACCTGTTTCCTGTGATCTTATTGTGATACCACCTGTTTCCTGTGATCTTATTGTGATACCACCTGTTTCTGGGTATCTTATTGTGATACCACCTGTTTCCTGTGATCTTATTGTGATACCACCCGTTTTCCTATGATCTTATTGTGATACCACCTGTTTCCTGTGATCTTATTGTGATACCACCTGTTTACTGTGATCTTATTGTGATACCACCTGTTTCCTGTGATCTTATTGTGATACATTGCCTGTATCTTATTGTATATGTTTTCCTGTGAATTATTGTGATACCAAATGTTTCCTGTGATCATTATTGTGATACCACCTGTTTCTTTTTCCTGTGATCTATTGGATACCACCTGTTTCCTGTGATCTTATTGTGATCCCCTGTTTCCCGTGTTTATTGGATACCCCCTGTTTCCTGTGTTTTTATTGTGATACCACCTGTTTCCCGTGATTTATTGTTAAAACTGTTTCTGTGATTTATTGTGAACCCTGTTTTGTGATCTTATTGTGATAACCCGTTTCCTGTGTCTTATTGTGATACCCCTGTTTCCCGTGTCTTTTTGGATACCCCCTGTTTCTGTGATCTTTTGTTTACCCCCCTGTTTCCTGTGTTT